AAAAAAAAAAAAAAAAAAAAAAAGAAGCTGTGTGTGTAAGATGAGGCTGAGGACATTTACTTTGTGGGCTTGTGGGCTGCCCATGGGCATGGAGGGGGTTAGGTGACCATAGAGGCTCTGCCAGTTGCCACTCCGCTTTCTTCCCAGCCCCAGGTTCTGCAGCTACAAGTCACTGGGGCCACTTCCTCAAACCCCAGGCACCCAGGAGTCCTAAGTGGCAGGCACTGCTTGTTTTAAATTCTGGGAACGTACGAACATAGGCTGTCACTATGCATGTAAGACTAAATAACACGAGGACCTAAAGTATCTCAGAGGGAAAGCCTTCACTGTTTGCAGGGACAGGGATCCTCTGAAAATTCCTATTCACAAATGCACTTTATTAAAAAACACAAACACACAGGCAGACTGAAAGCTAGTGGACCATGGCCCCTGTTACAGTGAACACTGCCACGGAATGATGTCCACGGAAGAGCAAGATCATTAGGTGGAAAAACGAAGGAAACAAAAGAGCAAAGAAGAGGCAGTGGCAGCTCTCCTAAAAGCCGATTTCGTGCCGTGTAATAGCGCATGCTAGAGCTAAAATTGAGGGCTTCAAAAACTGTTACCTGAGTTCTGAGTTTAATCATATCGGCTTCCATCTGGGAATTGGATTCATTTAGCTCCTTGATTTCTTCATCTAATTGTTTGATTTCTTCATCATTTTCTATACCTGCAATAATGAATAGTAGAGTATGTTAAAACTATTATATACAAAAATATTAGAGTTAAAATTTTGGGAGTTTTCTTTGTTCCTTTTATATTTGTAATTGAATTTGCTTGGAAAATATACCCTTGAATTAGAAAGAAAAAAATAATCACAATCTCTCTGTCTTTCTATTCCCTACCACTGCCCCTTCCCTGCCTAAGGCCCTCCACAAAAAGAAACAATCAACTGAGACACACGGCAAGGAGCGTTGCACTCCTGGGACAGTTGCCCTGGGTCTTAGGTGTGTCCCTGGGACGGGAGGCAGAAGCCATGTGGTCCTAGGTGCTGCTTTGCTGAGCCTGGCCTGTCTGTTTCTCCTGCTTTCATTCTTTCTCTCAACTGCTCTCTGCATCAGTCATTCTACAAACACCCCAGGCTTGCAGCCAGGCTCTGCAGGCACATTCACCAACAAGCCCAGGTCACCCCTGCCCTCACTCAGCTTAGGTTCTGGGTAGGAAAATGGGCAACCGACGTGCAACCCAAGTGCAGTCTGGGAAATGCCGAGGATGACCGCTCCTCATCCACCAACAGGAAGCTGTGTGGGAGAGAGGGACATGGGAGCTGGCTGGAGGGAGGTGGCCACGAAAGGTCTCTCTGAATATTTGGCATTTAGTGAATAAAAAATCTCATTCTGAATGATTAAAAAACATGTATTAACTAGCAGAATTCCCAATTTGTAAACTCTGCCAGAATGACGGCCTTGGCCAGGTGTGCACCTGACTATCTGAGTGACCCTGGTGTGTGACTGCCGCCCTGCTGAGGTCCATGGGGCCACATGGACCTGTCTTGGCATACCTGGGCACAGGGCCCTGGTGCCCGTAGTTACAAAGGGCATTTGGATGCCTGCTTCCCTGGCCAGCTGTGTCTGGTTACTGGTAACGCTCTACTGCCAATGCCAAAGAGATGGAGATTCCTCTCTATTGTGACCACTTGACCTCACACAATTGGGCATACACAGAAGGAGGGCAGGCGTTTTGCAAACCCAATTCCCCTAAAACATTCAGGATTTGAGATTGCTGTTCTCATTGGTCAGACGGCACCACAATGGATCTTCACTCAAAACAAATGGAAAACACATTCAGCCCAGGCCTCCGAGGAGGCTTCCAGTGGGTAGATGCTGTTTTCAAGCACTGCAGACAGAAGGGTAGAAGGGGTGCAATCAGCCAGAGGCTGAGACCTGAGAGCACCCCAGAAACCCTGCTGACATCAGTGGAACAGAGGCGGAGGCTCCTCTCTACTGGGACGTTGGAAAGATGAGAGTGAGAGAGAGTGATGGCTTCGTGGGACTGGGCCTTAGGTGCTGCTTTTAGTGAAATGAAAAAAAAATGTTATAACTTCAGGATAAAAATACCCAATGCAAAAACAACCCAATTTGTAAAGCAACTAAATCATGAATGAATGTATCATTTAAGAAGCATTCTCCACAAGCTTCTGTGAGATTGCAAGCATCCAAATGCCTTTAGGAGGCTGCAGGAGGCATTAAGGAGGCTGCAGAACCCGGGGCGAGGTGACTCTGTGCCTCTAGAGCCGCCGCGCTGGACTCTTCTCAAGCACAGTCCCAGGACTTCATCTCGCAGAGTGCTTTCAACATATACACGTATATTTTACTCTATTCTTATGGCAGATTAGCTTTCAGCATATTTCTATCAAAAACCTTAGGTCAGGATGTTTAGTTTCAAGAATTTATGAGAAATATCAAACTAACAGGCAAACCAGGCTTTGTTATCTAATTGATCTGCCAGATCAGGTCAGCTGTTCTGACTGAAGTCAGTGTCATTTTAAATCCAAATAAAAGTCTTGACATGGGTCCCATGACAACCTTTCATCTCTAGTTTTGTTCTGGGAGTGATGGGTGTGTGGCTATTACTTCCACAGCTCTGCTCTGTCCTGGGGGACCCCCTTAGGCCCAAGTGGTCACCAGTGGACCCTCGTGGGAGCCTGGGAACTCCTGAGCCCTGGGGCCACCCACTGCAGCTCCGTGCAGCACGCCAGTCCTTTGTAAGGCAGAGGAAGGAGACAGGGAAATGCCAGGAAAGAACTGGAAGGTCACAGTCACTCTCTCGGCCCACGAGATTCTGGAGGACAAGGGGCTGTGGAAGAGGAAGGCCTGATTTTGTAGAACTGTCCACAGCCAAATCCCTGGGACATACTGTGAGTCCCCAGACACATGTGCCTGGGCACGAAGCCCACGCAGGAAGTGGGGAGTTCTGCGTGGGTGTGAAGACCCCTCAGGGAGAGGAGGGCTCTGGGTAGGTGTGAAGACCCCTCAGGGAGAGGAGACCTCTGGGTGGGTGTGAAGACCCCTCAGAGAGAGGAGACCTCTGGGTGGGTGTGAAGACCCTCTGGGAGAGGGAGCTCTTGGTGGGTGTGAAGACCCTCAGGGAGAGGAGACCTCTGGGTGGGTGTGAAGACCCTCAGGGAGAGACCTCTGGGTGGGTGGGCTCATTTTCAGGGCTAGAGCTCCTTTCCCTAGCTTGCTTTCTGCTTTGCTAGTCAAAGGAAAGAACAAAGCATGATCTTGTTTCCTTCTTTCCTAAAGACTGCCCCTGCCCCACCCCCACAAAAAGTCACTAATGGTGCAGCTTCAGCCAAGGTGCCAAGGCGCTAAGAGGCATCCAGCGAACATCTGCAAAAGCGTTCTGAAGGGAGACTCACTAACAGAGTCACGCCGGAGGCTCTGGCTGGGCTGAGTGCTCACGCATGATGAGATCACTCCACAGATAAAGAAAATAATATCACTTGTCGGGGGAAGACATGAGAGGAGGCTCGTCCCTAAACTTTAAAATGAAAGAAAGAAAAATACTTCAGAGCCAGAAGGGAACTTCAAGGACAGGTAGAAAAGCTGCTTCTCTTTCAGACAAATGCTCAAGAGAAAGAGCTAAAATCCAGTGCCAGGCCCTTGTCGGCCAGGCCAGTGCCTCGCAGTGGGGCCCGGTGACTTCTCTTTCCCGTACAGTGTCCAGGCCTCACACGGAGGGAAGCTGCTGAGCAGTCTTGTTACACTGAAGGTGTAAGAGTGACCCCTGGAAAGGCTTCACTCAGGATAGGAAAGAAAAGAAGGCTGGGCATGGTGGTGCATGCCTGTAATTCCTGCACTTTGGGAAGTCGAGGTGGGCAGATGCTTGAGCTCAGGAGTTCAAGACCAGCCTGGGCAACATAGTGAGACCTTGTCTCTCTTAACATATTTAAGGCCAGGCATGGTGGCACATGCCTGTAATCCTAGCACTTTGGGAGGCAGAGGTAGGCAAATTGCTTCACCTCAGGAGTTTGAGCATGGCCTGGGCAACGTGGTGAAACCCCATCTCTACCAAAAATACGAAAATTGGCTGGGTGTGGTGGTGCACATCTGTAGCTCCAGCTACTCAGGAGGCTGGAGTGGGAGGATTGCTTGAGCCCAGGAGGCGGAGACTGCAGTAAGCCAAGATCGTGCCACTGCTCTCCAGCCTGGGTGAGAGTGAGACCCTACCCAAAAAAAACGAAAGAAAGGAAAAAGAGAAGGATTGGCTTTTCCACAGCCGTAGCAAGGGCAGCAGGAACACAGAGCCTCGGATGTGAAGAATGGCATCATGGCAGTGGCACTGCATGCTGTGCCTCGGTCCCCTGAAGAGCAGCAGAAAGGTCCCCTGGCCTTGCCTGGACTCACTGCACAGACAGAAATGATGGCTGAGCACACAGCTGCGCTCTGGGCATCACTAAGAACCACCTTGGTTCGCTGAGAATATGCCGGGAATTGGCCGCACAGACTCAGCACACGCTTGGACTTAGGAAGACCTGGGCGGGACCCCCTTCCACCACCTGCTCTCCCAGTGCCCTGCAGCTTGTCTTTGTCACCCACGGATGGACAGGCATGCATTAAGATCTGCAGCAGGGGGACCTGTTTTTGTCCTAAAACTTAGCACTACAGGAACGGCGGGTCCAGCAACCTGGGTGAAAGGCAGGGACCTGGCTGAAGGCTGCCCAGCAGCAGGAGCTGGGCCCAGAGGGTGGGCAGTGACCCTGGGATGTCCGTGTAGCGGCTGCTTTCCCATGATAAAGCCCAGTTGTTGGTTCTTCTAGTTCATAGTCACAGACCAGCTGCTCATCTTTATCCCTCTGAGTTATCACTTGTTTTTCTGAATGAACCCCTTCTGTTCGTCAGTAACAGGAATGTCTAGTGCCCTAAAGGCCGACTCAGGCCCACCGATGACGAAGACGGTCAGCTGAGGGATCTGCCCACAGCTGCCCGGGGGGACCAGCCCAGGTGTGAATGGCCCTCCTCCAGGATCGGCAGGTCTCCTCTCCATGTCCTCTTTTCTTTTCTGATTTGAACTGGCCTCCATAACCTAGCTGCACTTCCTTCATGAATGGGAAACAAAGGGACGTGGACTCAGATTGATTTATTTAAGGATTTCTGCTCGAATCCAGGGTTTTTTGGGGGTGAAACGCCTGCTAAGTATTTTGAAAACCACCCGGCATGTAGATGGAGCTCAGGCAGTGTTTTCTTTCTGGCAAGGAACACTACTCCACAGTAACTGGGAAGCGAACATTGGCTATCTATCCTGATGTCTCAAAAGTGGGGTCCACACTGGGGGACCTTACACTGCTTGGGACTGCAGCCATGGGAGAGAGTGTGAAGCTGGTCAGGGTATGCTGGAAGGCAGAAACTGCCAGGCCTGGCCTAAGAGACAGGCCGCTGGCTCCAGGGGCCCCAGCCTCTGAGGACACATGTCAGGAAGCTGATGACTCTTCTGGTGAACGATGGGATGAAGCCCAGTTGTTGGTTCCTCTAGTTTATAGAGAAACTGCTCATCTTTATCCCTCCAAGTTGGTGTGTCCCTTGTGTGCAGCGGTAATAGGAATGTTGAGGAATAGGTAGTGCTTGCTGCTGGGAGAGGGAACCCTTCAGACCCTGGGACGTTCAGGCTTCGCTCATGCTGCTCTCAGGACCAATCACAGTCAGATGAGAGGAGACTCCCCTGGCTGCAGCTAGGGGCTTCATGTCTGCATGCTTGGGAGCTGCTCGGGTGTGGCTCAGTCTCTGACTGGTGGTTTTATTAGGGCTTCTCTCACTTCACTCTGCACTTCTCTCTCCTGCTGCCTTGTGAAGAAGGACGTGTTTGCTTCCCCTTCCGCCATGATTGTAGGTATCCTGCGACCTCCTAGCCATGTGGAACTGTGAGTCAATCAATCCTCTTTCCTTTATAAATTACTCAGTCTTGGGTATTTCTTCACAGCAGTGTGAGGTGGACTCATACGCCTGTTTTGTGTGTGCTCCCATTTAAAGACAACTTATTTAATAGATAATGTGGATTCCTTAACATTGATCTGCCAGCCACCGCTCACAATGGTGACTCCTGTCTGCAGGGAGCCTGGCTAACACACGTGGTTTCCCTGTAGGCACATCACAGCCCCCTGCACTCACCAGACACTTCGGCTGTTCATCTGGGGGCGGGCTACACAGCAAAGTCATCGACCAAAAGGGCAAAATACATAACACAGGGCACTAAATAGACCACGGGAAGGACTCTGATTTAGTCTGAGATAAGAGGGCTGAGTCTTGCCTTGTCCCACGTCTGTTGGGAACCTGCCATGGGAAACCTGAGTGTCCCCTGCTCTGTGAACACACAGGAGTAACTACACAAGCACCGAGATCATTGCCTGTGACTACAAAGGAATTTCAGCAGGGAGGTGAACTCGCAAACAGAGTCCCTAGATCATGAGGGGAACTGTGGCTATTTCTAAGGCCTTAGTGGCCCTCCTCTCTCCTGCTCCTCCAGAGGCCCGTTTTCCTCTGCAGAATTCTTTTTTTTTTTAAATTTTATTTATTTATTTTTTTAAAGATGGGGTTTCACCATGTTGGTCAGGCTGGTCTTGAACTCCCAACCTCAGGTGATCCACCCGCCTTGGCCTCCAAAGTGCTTGGATTACAGGCGTGAGCCACCGCGCCCAGCCTCCTCTGCAGAATTCTTTACACACCTGTGTCAGTTGGTGGCAAGAGAGACCCTCAGAACAAACCAGATTTGCAGGTGGAATCAAGAAAATCAGGCACCAGACATGCAAGAGTGAGGGCAAGAGGGGAGGGATGCCGTCCTTGTCATCTGTGGCCTGGGGGCCCCAAAGCTGCTCTTGGGTGGAGAAACCCAAGATGAGAGCCTGAGGGACAGAGGCAGAAATGTGGGCGCCCTGAGGCTCCAGGGAGTGGGAGAGACCCGCAGCACTTGGGCTTGTGATGCTGGTGAGTAGCGAACTCCGTGAAGCAGGGAGATGGTTTTGAGAAAGGCTGTTTTCTTCTCAAGTTGCTTAGCTTTATGGATGACAGGGCCAGCATCATCCCCGCCTCTGCTTTCTAAGAAAAGTGAGCTGTAATGGTTAAAGGACACAGAGCCGGTGTGGCCGTGCCCACTGGGCATTCCTGAACGTGTGTGCCCCAAGGCTGGGGTGCTCACCGTTGCTGGCTCGCTGTTTGATGGTCAGCATCTGCTCTCCAGAAAGCTTTGCCTTCTTCATCGCTGACGTGGCTCTTGGGCATCCTGACAAGCTGTGGACGAGACATGGGATGGCTATTAGTCAACTGTCTGATGCCCCCAGCCCGGCAGGGAAGCGGTGGTAAGCAAGGCATAGAAGAGCATTATTTTATTAGGTCGGTTGCCAGCAAAGGCTGTCTGAGATTGAGAAAAAGCAAAAAGACCGACGCGTACAGTATGACCAGGTACGCACACATGGGTGCGTGTGTGTGTGCGTGTGTGTGTCCGTGCACTCATGCACGTGCTGTGCACCAATCATGGGCACTCGGCTGGGGCTGCCTCTCGTGGAGGTCCTGGGAGCTGGGGCGCTGAGACGGGAGGAAACTTGCCCTGCATCGCAGAACTTTTAGAGCTTTTTGGAAATTTTAGAGGGACAGTATTGCTTAAGAATCTTCTTCATTATGGAAAGCATCAAGCCTATAGAAAGGGTGGGTTTAAAAGTCAATTTCAAATATACAAAAGTAGAGAGAGCAGAAGGAACTCACCCCCAAGTTCAGTTGCTCTCTCTCTCGGCAAGTCACCTGCGGTGCTCCTGCTTCCCCAGCCTCAGATGAGAACACAGGAGGCAACACCCTTATCTCACCCCACATTTTAGCCAGTTTTCTAATATCACCAGCTCTTCATTCTGTTTTCAAACTTCTGGTGTCTCTTCACTTTTCTCAGCTGCTGGTTTGTCGGCCCCAGCGCTTCACAGTGCATGTGGCAGACGTGGCTGGCGAACTCTGGGGCAGGGAGGGGCCTCTGCCTCCTTTTCTGTCTGTCCTTCTGGGTGTGTGCTGAAGATGGCGTGTCCTGTGTGCGGAGCCTCTTCCCTGCAGTCTGTGTCCCAGTTTCCTCACAACTCCTCGGCGTCAGGGGGAGCCTTCCCTCCCTCCCAGGGGCTCCTGGACATGCCCAGCCCAGGGTCAACCGGGGCCTCACTGTGCTAAAGGCCGGGGGCCATCTGGCCTTAACTACGGGGAGGTGAAAAACTTCTGCATATAACGTTGTTGCTGTCGTTGAGACGGGGCTCGCTTTGTTGACCAGGCTGGAGTGCAGTGGGGCCTTCACTGCAGCCTCTGCCTCCCAGGTTGCAGTGATTCTCCTGCCTCAGCCTTGCGAGAAGCTGGGATTACAGGCATCTGCCACCACGCCTGGCTAATTTTTGTATTTTTAGTAGAGACAGGGTTTCGCCATGTTAGCCAGGCTGGTCTCGAACTCCTGACCTCAGGTGATCTGCCCACCTTGGCCTCCCAAAGTGCTGGGATTACAGGCGTGAGCCACCGTGCCTGGCCTATAATGTTTCATGTGTGTATATGACATACATGTTTATGCTCTGTATGTATGTAATATCCCTCTCACCTGTATATTAAGTGTTAGTGGACCCTGTCCATGAGTGGCGTGATGACGTGTTAGGGATACATCTAGAAACACTCTGTACTAGTGCAGGTGACGTGTGAAAACATTTTCACTATACTTCATCCACACCACAGGTTTGTGATTATTTATGTGCTGTTTGCACCTCACAACTATATTAGAACATTCATAAAATTCTAAAAAATCATTGCTGTTGCCTGACTGTGTCCCCTGAAAATCCGTGCACGGAAATCCTGACCCCTACCATGACAGTGTGAGGAGGAGGGGCTTGTGGGAGGCGACGAAGCCCTGGATAAGGAGCCCACGTGACGGGATCTGGGCCCTCAAAACAGGGACCCAGAGAGCTCCTTCACCCCTTCTCCTGTGTGAGGACAGAGTGAGAAGGCGCAGCCCTCACCAGAAACCGAACCTGCTGGAGCCCTGTCCTGGAATTCCCGTCTCCAGAACTTAAAGGAATACATTTCTGGTTTGTAAGCTGCCTGAGGTGTGGTGTTTGTTTTGCAGCCCTGGAACATCTAAGACGATCCCCAGTATTTGCTGGGGAAGCCCCAGGGACAGAGAGGCCTCTGGCAGCCAGGTGGCATGGCGGGGTGGGCGCGGTGGCGCCCTGGCTTCTTCTACTCACCCCAGCTGCAACCCCAGGAATCTGACAGTCCCTGAGAGAGCCCCGGCTCGTGGTTCCCTTTGCTGTTTTTCCTTGTTCACTCATTCGGTGCTAGATGTTGGCACTGATGCTTTCTGATGGGGCTCCAACCTTGTCTGCTGCTTTCTGATGGGGCTCCAACCTTGTCTGCTGTGTTTTCATAGGATATCCCTGTGCTCTTCAAGCTCTCTTTAGCGTGGGGAGTGAATAAACTCCTCTGTTTCCTGAGGAAATAGACTCCTCTTCAGGCCTCCCTGATGGGGCCTGGCAGTGGTCCCCACTCTGGGGCACCCCTCCTGGGCCCCCTCCTTCCTCCCCAACAGATCCCAGCAGGACGCCCTGCAAGTCCAGCTGGAGGGGTGCCGACACTTCTGCTTCCCTAGCTTCTCCGTAAATCCACTTCTGATGGCGGGCTGAAGATTTTCATTTGTGAAGTAATAAGTTCTCCACAGATCTCTTAATGCTCTCCTAAAACATGATGCTTGGATTTTAAGGTCACTTTCCCCTTCCTGCGGCTGGACGCACGGAGGCTGTGGTACAGGGTTTCCTGCAGGTGTGCCTGCGCCTTGGACCTGCATTCAGGTAGACTCTGCAGTCAGGTGGCTACATCCGGCAAGTCCTTTGTGAAGCCAGGAGGCCCATCGACCTCACACTGCACCACCCCTCATGCGCAAACACACACAGGACGTGGAGCTGGCTAGGAGAGACTTACACATTCCTGCTTGCTCACTTGTGAAATGAGAATAAAGTAGTGAATTGACTGTAAAGTTTAATGAGAAGAAAGTATATTCTTGAGGGCAAGAATTAAAATGCACTTTTTTGTTCACTGCTCTGTATTCCCATGAGGGGATGGCGCTGGAGATAGAACAGGTGCCTGGTGACGGCTTCTGAAAGAATAAAATATCGGAATGCAATTTGTGGAGGCCCAGGGTGAGTGTGAGTGCACCCAGGACCTGGAAGATGCTGGCTGAGCCCCAAGAGATGCCTGCCATAGGATTTTGCTGGACCAAGTTAAAAGAAGACGCTGAGTGCAGCTGCCACCCTGGGCTGAGCTGAGGGGAGGGCTGGGGTGAGGGGCTCCTGCAGAGAGGTCCTGAGGCTGAGCCATGGGATGAGGGTGTCTCCTGGTTGGTCTACGGCGCATGTGGCCCAGCCCTGCTCACTGTGACCCTCAGAAATGCAGGGAGAAGCTCCCATCTTCTGCTCTCTGAACCTCCCTGGCCGTTTCCACTTGCCTTGTGTTTGTGAATGGTAATTGAAGGGCCAGGAGCTGCAGGTGGGGAGACAGGGAGGGCCACAAAGACCCGCCTCCTCCTCCTCGCCATCCTCGCAGGTGAGTGGCCTCCTCTGTGTGCACCTGAGACCCCAACCTTCTGTCAGCACTTCAGTCCAGGCCTGTGCTTCTCCCTCAGTGCAGTCCCTGGGCCTCAGCCTGGGTCCCATCCATTCTGTCCCACAGTTGAGAAATGGCCCCAGGGACTCAGCTGTGGCTGCTCCTCACCCTCAAGGAGAGCTTCCAGCAGCTTCTCTGAGAGCAGCTGCCAATGCTAGGGTTATCTCCTAGAGCAGGGGTCCCCACCCCGGGCCATGCCCTGTTAGGAACCCAGCTGCACAATGGGAGGTGAGCAGTGGGCTAGCCAGGGAGCCTTCTCACCTGAGCTCCGCTTCCTGCCCATCAGCAGCTCAGGAACGCATCCAGTCCTCACAGGAGCGCACATCCTACTGTGAGCTGTGCCTGTGGAGGATCTAGGGGGCTGCTCCTTATGAGAATCGAATGTCTGATGATCCGAGGTGGACTGGTTTCATCCAGAAACCATCCCACCCTTTCTCCGTGGAAAAATTATCTTTCATGAAACTGGACTCTTGTGCCAAAAGGCCGGGGGCGCCGTCCTAGACAGCCTTCGTGATGGGCTCTTCCCACACGTGCCACCTCTGCTGTGTGCTTGCAGCTTCCCCAGGTTCATGATCTTCTCTGCCTTTCAGTGAATGCCCCTGGCACTCCCACTTGAGTGTGCTGCCCTGCCCCGTCCCATCCAACTGACCTCCCAACTCTTTACTGTTCTGCCCACAAAGCAGGGCTGCACCAGGGGGCCCACCCGGCGCTGCCTTCCTCAAGTCCCCCGCGCCCTGGGCGCAGCCTCCGGGACGTGGACGCGGTGGTTCACACCCTGGGTTATATTTCCCTTTTCTGCTCATCTAAGGCTGCTTCCTGGAAAGCCGAGCATGTTGCTGCATGTATCCCGGTGTCCAGGAGCCTTTGTAGATGGGAGGTGTTTAGTAAAGACCCACAGAATAGAACGTAGAAATGGACTGATGTTGCCAATGATTTTTTCTTGAAGATTCCGCTTCTGCAGAAGCTGCCTCCATCCTCCCCTCCAGCCTCCCCTCCAGTCTCCCCTCCAGCCTCCACCCCCAGCCTCCACCTCACTGGGGGTGGGGAGCTTCCCAGGCCCTTCCTCTTTCATGGGCCTTGCTGCAGAATTTTTAAAGATCTGCTCACGTCTCACTTTCTCTTTCCCACAGTGGACTAAATGCTTGCAGAATTGTAGGGGCAGGCCTGGCGGAGAGCGTTAACCCGTGAACCAGCAGCTCCTTAGCGGTGGGCAGAGAGCAGAGCCTCGTTCCCCTGGCTCTGCTCCAGGCTCACTTGTGGGGATTCTTGTTACCTGCAATCTAGGATCTCCAGGAAGAAGCAGAGGACAGGTTGGGAAGTCAGACTTTCTCTGCTTAAGTCCTGCTTCCACTGCTGACTCATTCTAGGGCCCTCTCTAAGCCTGGGTGTTTTATTTGTAAAATGGGAATTAAAAAGCAAACACAGTTCCCTGCCTCATAGGGATATTTTGAAGGTTGAATATAGAAAAAGGACATTAAATGGCAACCATGAGAGGTAGATGTTGGGCTAGCCAGGCCTGGGAGAACAGGTGAGATCCAGGCCTGTAGAATCACGCTCTGTGAGCTCCTGCCGCAGCAGGCCTGGCTCTGTGGGGACACAGCTGAGGGCCCGAGGCAAGGCCT